TCTTCCAGCATCCCTGAGGCACCATGATCCCCGGCGCAGGCCCCTGGGGCTGCTGCCTGCTCGCGCTGCTCTGCCTTCTCCCCTGCCCGCGGGTCAGGGCGGGCAGGGATGCCGCAGGACCGGCGCTCTCCGCAGACTCCTTCCTGCAGGATCTCCTCCAGCGGTACGGCGAGAGCGAAACCCTCAGCCTGAAGCAGCTCAAGGACATGATGAACCGGCTGGGCGTGGGAGTGGAAAAAAAAAAACGTCTCCCATACGCCGCAGCAGCGGGTGAACCTCTCCCAGGTAAGGCGGGGGCTCTGCAGACCCCCAAAGCCTCTTCACGGAGCTGCGGGAGTCTCAAGGCACGTGCCTGTCTCTTCCCTTTCCCAGTGCTTCAGCTCCGTCGAGCTTTTTGCCATCCACAACCTGAGCGAGGGCTCCGCCGTGGGGCACCGTGAGTTCAAGGAGTTTTGCCCCACCATCCTGCAGCAGCTGGAATCTGGGGCGTGCGCCTCCGAGAACATGGAAAATGAGGAAAATGAGCAGACGGAGGAGAGCAGACCCAGCTCGGCCGAAGGTAAGCGGGGAACCGGGGGGCATGAGCGCTGTCTGGCCCTGGACACGGAGCTCGGGGACATGAGGCACCCCGGGACCTGCGAGACAGCCGGTTCCCATTCCCGGCTCTGGGGCATAGGCAGAGTCTGGCAGAGACAAGAGGAGGCAGCTTGCCTACAGCAGCTGGGAGTCCTGACGGGTTTTCCTCAGTGTGGTTTGTGCTGTGGGCTCGCAGCGTGGTTTTGCCCCTGATCACACACACCGCAGGTCTCTGGGATAGCTGGATGATGCGGACCTTGCTGCAAGTCCCCGTGGGTGGGAGCGGGTGGCTTGGCACATTTAGGGACCCACTGGCCTCTAGCTGCCAGCAGATGCTAAACGAGCTTCCATGCATCCAGGTCCTGACAATGCCCGAGGTCTTGGATCAGCTGCCCTGAGCACAGCACCGGTTTCTCCCATGCCGCGAGGCTGGGGCTGTCTCGGGAAAGCCTCTTCCAAGTAACCTGGTGGCTTCATTTCCACCTGCCCTGCAACAAAAATGACGGTTTGTGTCGCAGCAGAAGCGTACGGAGCAAAAGGAGAGATGCTCCGGTGCGGCGAGGCCAGCCCCGGCCTGGGGGCGTAGACCCGGAGCGAGCCTTTTCCTCCTGCCCGGATCTGGGGTCTCGGGGTCCTCCCCATCTCCCCGCGCCGAGAGCCTCGGTAATGTCTGGCCCTCGTTTCTTCTCGTTCCGCAGTGTGGGGCTTTGGTTTTCTCAGTGTGTCGATGATTAACGTGGCCTCCCTGCTCGGAGTCTTCATCATACCGTGTACCGAGAAGGCCTTTTTCAGCCGGGTCCTCACGTTTTTCATCGCGCTCTCCATCGGCACGCTGCTCTCTAACGCGCTCTTCCAGCTCATCCCAGAGGTGCGGTAGAAAGTCCCTGCCTCTCTCCCGTCTCCGAGGGCAGCTCTCCGGGCACCCTCTCTGCCTCCACCCTGCCGAATCGAACCGATCCCTCCGTCACCCGAGGCTGAGGGCTTGTCTCAGGGGCTCCGCAGGGCTTTTCTCACCCCTCCGAGCACCAGGAAACCCTGTCGAGTGTTCAGGCAGCGTGGGGAGGCTGCTGGCCAGGTCTGAGCTCCGGCAAGGGGCTGGGAGAAGCCTTTTGCTCCTGCCCCATGGGCTGCGTCTGCTTCCCAAGGGAATTTCTCCCTCGGAGGGATGTGCTCAGCCCTGCTTCACACAGAGCTGCCCGGCTCTGAGGCTGCTGAGATGCAGCAGTGCTCGTGGTGTGAGCTGGATGGAAAGACGTGCAAGGCGGAGGAAATACCGGTGTAAAAGCACAGAGAGCAGCCCAGAGAAGCACCAGCTTCCTCTCGAGTCAGCCAACTTTTTACAAATGTTTTAATTGCCCTTCTTTTTTCCCCACCCTGATTTACAAGACTGATGTTCCCACAAGGGTTGAGGCTTATGTGAGGTTTCCTGGTGCTCCGATGGGTCCGACAGATACATCGCAAATTAATTGTGTTGTAATTGCACAGTTCTGGAGTTGAATAAATACGCCCATGCGCTCTCAGATTGGACACCTTCAAAACACGCGTGCTTCCTTGACCCCCCGGTCCAGGCAGCTTCACAGAGCCCTTCTCCATCTCCTGGGGAGGCGAGGAGCTGGATCTGAGCTCCTGCGCATCCAGTCTTAACACTCCGTATTTAAGGTGCAGCCTTCCCTCTGAGCAGAGCACCCTTTGCTGCCACTGGGTTTTGCCCCCCGGCGTTGCCTGCTTTGCTCTCGTCCGTGTTGGCGGGGGGGAGGATATCTTTTTTTTCAAGGCTCCTTTTCAACTCCAGAACTGCGACTTTTATTTGCCGAACATAAAAACCAAGCGCCTGTGTTTCCTGATCTGCCAGGAACTGAAATGACTTACGTACGCTCCACCCTTGCCATCAGTCGGAGCATCCCAGTCCCAGCTGGCTTGCGGGGACCAGCTGTGTCTCTCCAGGCTGCAGAATGAGGATGGAGCGTACGAGATGCTCGGGGGACCTCGGTGCTCTGTGGCCCTGGAACGGCCGCCCGATGTCCCACGGGGACTCGGGGAGCAGAGCTGGGGTGCTGGCTCTGAAACAGCCTGGCTGCCAAAACTCGGCTTCATCCTGGTGCTAAAAGAGAGCTGCTTGCTCCAAGGGAGGGATCCTCTCCCGGTTATTTGGCACGAGCTCCGCAGCGGGGTGTCCGTCCAGCGCTTCCCAAAGAGCTGTTTCCAGAGCCACTCAGCACCAGGTTTGCCCTCTTGAACCATCGCTGGATGAACAAGCAATCACTAATGAATGTCCTCTTCTCTCCCCCCCCTCCCTCCCTCCTCTCTCTTTCCTTTCGGTATGGATTCCTTCCCCTCCCTCCCCTTCCCCACGTTGATCTCCTTTCCCTCCGACAACCTCCCCTCATCCGAATCCCCGGGGTGGGTTTGGCACGCACGCCGCAGTCTGGGGTTACGGTTTCCTCTGCGTGACCGTCATCTCCCTCTGCTCGCTGGTGGGAGCCAGCGTGGTGCCCTTCATGAAGAAGACCTTTTACAAGCGGCTGCTCCTCTACTTCATAGCTCTGGCGATTGGAACTCTCTACTCCAACGCCCTCTTCCAGCTCATTCCCGAGGTAGGGTGAGGGCCGTCGGGTCTGTCCTTTTCTCTCTCTCGGGGGCTGTTTCTCTTTTTCTGGGCGCTCGCTGGCTGGAGAAGGGGAAGGCGGCATCGGAGGGGAGCCAAGAGCGAGGTACGGAGGCTGGAAGCCCCTCGGGACCGCAGTCGGAGCTGGGGGTTCGCCCCTCCTTGGGAAGGAGGAGCTTCGCATCGGAGGGGAGCCAAGAGCGAGGTACGGAGGCTGGAAGCCCCTCGGGACCGCAGTCGGAGCTGGCGTTTCGCCCCTCTTTGGAAAGGAGTCGCTCCAGGGAGCCCTCCAGTCTGCTTCAAGCAGAGAAGCGCTGTGTTATTACCCTTTCTAGCCCTGCAGGCACGTCGCCTTTGTGCCGAGATGGCGGAGGCTTTCTAAGCCTGCTGTTAGCATCCCTGTCCTGGTGTGCAGGGTGGTGGATCCAATTTGGGGCACAGCTGGCTTGGCTGAGGGAGTGAGGGAGATTAAAGGCGCACGAAGGCGTTTTCTGAGCTTGCCCCCAAAGCAGCTGCTGCTTAGAGAGGGGTCAGAATGCGGCGGTCTTGCCCCAGAGGTGCCAGGGGCAAAGGCAGATGAAGGATGCTGCCGGAGACTGTTCCTCAGTCCTGTCACTTGTCCCCTTTTGCCTGCAGGCGTTTGGATTCAACCCTCAAGAAGCTTACTACGTTTCCAAGTCCGCCGTGGTGTTTGGGGGCTTCTACCTCTTCTTCTTCACCGAGAAGGTCCTGAAGATGCTCCTGAAGCAGAAGGACCAGGTGAGGTTGAGGAGGGGCTGCTCGGAGCGCTGTTTGGGTGGGAAACGGCAGAATTGCCAGGGGTGGCTGACGCCCGTGAATCCCCCCTGTCCCACAGCATCACCACGGGCACAGCCACTACGGCCCCGAAGCTCTGCCCTCCAAGAAGGACCAGGAGGAGGGGGTCACCGAGAAGCTGCAGAATGGGGACCTGGACCACATGATCCCGCACATAACCAGCGAGCTGGAGTGCAAGACCCCCTCCGGGGATGAGAAGGTTGTGGTGGGCTCCCTCTCTGTCCAGGTTAGTGTCTCCTCCTGTGGGGTTGTGGGTGGGCGTGTGGGGAAAAAAACAACCCAAACAACTGCCTGTCAATGAAAAAGAGAAGTTTTGAAGCCCATTGCAGCTCCCTGATGAAATTCTCTGTGGGTGGTGGGAAGCAAACGGCTCAGGTCAAGCTTTGTGTGGATTTAATGCATGGAGGGGTGGGTTCCCCTGGCCGGTGGAGGGAGCAGTGACCCCCCCCAGACCAGCTGGGTGCTGAGCCCTTGCTGTCGGGGTGCCGTGGCAGGACCTGCAGGCCTCCCAGAGCGCATGTTACTGGCTGAAGGAGGTGCGATACTCCGACATCGGCACGCTGGCGTGGATGATCACCCTCAGCGACGGCCTCCACAACTTCATCGACGGGTTGGCCATCGGGGCCTCCTTCACCGTCTCCGTCTTCCAAGGGATCAGCACCTCCGTGGCCATCCTCTGCGAGGAGTTCCCGCACGAGCTGGGTACGTGAGTCCTCAGGGAAAGGCGCTGCGAGGGCTCTCAGATCTGCCTCTCTTTTAAGGCTAACCCTGCCGCTTTCCTGATCCTACCCGTTGTTTCTCGAAAGGCAAATGTGGGGTGGAATAAACAGAGTAATGATGGGGGGGGGGAAAGGCAAGGCTGTAAACTACACTGAGTAATCGCAGCTCTAAAAATAACGAGGTAATATGATGTCTGAGATTTAAATTTAGATGGAGACATCTGAAGAAAAAAAAAAAAACCACCAACACTTCGTTGGTTTGGGAATGGGGAGGCAGGCAGCGGTTTGGGTTTGAACGTCCGAATTTATGCGCGGGCAGGGCCAGGAGCTGGCAGGCAGCTGCTGTGGGCAGTGCTCAGCGCCAGCGGGCACGGGGAGCCCACGCTTGACCTCCTGCAAAAGCAGGCGCTTAAAACGAGCACCTCGGTGCTGTCCCAACACTGCTGCTGCCCGCCCAGTGACAGCCCCTTCCCTTCTCATCCTCTTCTCCCGCAGGGGACTTTGTCATCTTGCTGAACGCCGGGATGACCATCCGCCAAGCGCTCTTCTTCAACTTCATCTCCGCCTGCTGCTGCTACGTGGGCTTGGCCTTCGGCATTGTGGCCGGCAGCCACTTCTCTGCCAACTGGATCTTCGCTCTGGCCGGAGGGATGTTTCTGTACATCGCACTGGCTGACATGGTAAATGATGAGCCCAGGGTGCTGCCGGGCTCGTGGTTGGGACCTTACCAGGGTTGTTTTGTTTTTTTCCTGGCTGGGAATTGCTCTGGCTTGCCCTTGGAGGCAAGGCAGGCACGGAGAGCACGGGGGGGATGGTTGCTCTGTCCCCCCTGCCAACGCAGATGTTGTCTGTAGTGGCCGGCGTTCGTCTCCGCTTTGCTTTGCCTCCTGGGCTGGTGATGCTGAGAGCCCCGGGCCGGGGGGTGAATGTTTACTGGGACAGTGGCATGGGGTGGGAAGCAGCGGGGAAGGACGGAGCCGCTCCTGTTGCTGAGCCCGGCCATCGCTCTCTCTTCCCCCTACCCAGTTCCCCGAAATGAATGAGGTCAGCCAGGAGGACGAGCAGAACGGCAGCACGCTGATCACCTTCGCCATCCAGAACGCGGGGCTGCTGACAGGGTTCACCATCATGGTACTGCTCACCATGTACTCTGGCCAGATCCAGATCGGGTAGGACCAGCCCGTCTTACAGCCCTGTTCCAGTTTTTCTGCGTTTTTTTTGGGGGGAAGGGGTATTTTTTTTCTTTTTTTTTTTTTTTCCTTCTTTTCCTTCTTTCCTTTTCCTGCTGCAAGCATATGACGGTACCTGTGCGGGCACTGACATCACACTACAGAAGCAGAGGCATTGCTTTTAAAGCTATTCCACAGACTTAATTTTATTTTGGTTTAAGGCTGAGGGGAGCTTAATCCCCTTCGCCGTAGGACCGAACTGACTGGAGGATCTCTTTCCGGTGTCATATCCCTTCTCTTCTTGCGTCTCCTGGGAAGGATGGAGTTGGGAGACAGGAGCTCCTCTAGCCGTGTTGCTCCCGTCCTTGTGCTCGGAGCGGTGCGATGGGATGCGATGCTCCCCTGGCCCCTTTTCAGGGGATGCGTGATGGGGGGCCGTGGGGTACAGGGCTAGCGCTGGACGCGAGCTGCCTCCGCCTGCTCCCCTGCCAGGGAATGGATGCGCAGCGGGTGAAAAGTACCACCGCAAAGAAGGGGAACGGGGACCCGCCACATTTGCCGGCATCGCACAAGGAGCTGGCGTTTCTCTCCTGCATGGAGAGGTGGTATCCTGCTGCAGGAGCGTGCAGACCAGCGTAAACCCTCCTTCTGAGAGAGTTACCTACCATCCAGTCCTCGGAGCTGCGCTCTGCAAGCACAGAGGGCTGCCGAGGAAGAGGAGGCTCGAGGAGCACAGCTCATGATTTGAGCATCATCCTTGCTGTCTTCAGAAACATGTCTCTGGAGCCACGTCTGGTTTTTCTCCCGTTCTGCCTTGGCAGCCCGGACGATGCCCTGGGAAGGGCAGGGTGAAGAGGGTTAGGTTTTTTTTGTTTGGGTTTTTGTTTTTTTTTTTTAAAAGCACATTCTGGGTGTCAGCACTCGGAGCCGAGGACGCCAAACCACACGCTGTGCGGGTCGGACTGACGGACGTGGGCTGCGTGGGGCAGCGGCTGGGAGAAGGCTAGCAGGATGCTCTTACCTCTCTTATGCCCTTGCTGCTGTACGGGTGGGGGGTCAAAAACACCCCCTTCTCCTTCCATGAGGGCAGCCGGGCGGCGATGCTGGCGAGAAAGGCGCAAGAGCAGCGTGGGGCAAGGGCAGAGCCGGCACGGCGAGCCCCTGCCTGGCCCCGGGCTCCCCCGCCGGGGGATCGGTCCTTACACTGTGACCAAGCTCACGCCGACACCTGGGAACGGACACTGGCTTTTAAACACTGGTGCTGCTGAGTTGCTGAGGTTTGGGGTGGGGTGGGGGGGTTGTTTTTAAAAAAAAAAAAAGAAAAAAAAATAGACTGTGAACCTCTTTAGGTTGTGCATTTCCAGCCTTAGGGAGTAGCCAGAGAAGGGTGTTACAGGCACTTCATAGCTCTGCTTCTGGGCTGGCTTTCCCCAGATTCACTAGGTGAATTGACTTATTATCATATTGATAATGTTGCCCACCCCACCCATGTCGCTTGAGGTTCCCTTGCACCCCCTTCCTCCCCCCAAACCTTATCCTGCACCCAGGAGAGGTGAGTTTGTGGCCACGCTGATAAGCGGGAGCCGATTTAGGCAGCTTACCCTAGTGGGTACGGAGCTGGATTGGGATGAAAGAGCGGTGCGGATGGCTTTGAGAAGTGCTTTGGTGTACGTGTCAGGGATGGCTTGTCACTGAGTGTCTTCCTTCGCTCCCTTGCCCGTGCAGGTGGCCGTGGGTGTGCGTGACGGGGTGACGACCATCCTGATGCCTCGGCTCGGTGCTGCTCGGCACCGGGGGCTGGAGCTGCGGCTCCCCACACCTTCCGTTCCACCCCTGTTGGAAAGCAAAGCGGAGGGTGTGCTGGGTGTTTTTCCTGCCCATGGCAAGAGGGGCGAGGGACCTCAGCCCTTGGCGTAGCCTGGGCCAGGCTCGGCACCATCCAGTAGCATCGTGCCCTGGTTTGATCGCTGGCTCAAACCTCACTGTCGTTCCTAATTTGCCTTAGGTACCAGCTGGATGACGTTCCTCTTAGGCTACTAACAGTTGTCCCTGAGTCCATAGGTCTCTGCCTGTTGAGATGTGGCACTGCCAGTATCCTCGTGGCTCGGCATCTCTGTTCTCGGTGGCTTTGGCTAGGCTAGGCATTGACTTTGTCCCCTTGGCACCCAGGAGGCTGTTTGTTGGCTTTGTCCCGCACCCAGAAGGTTAAATATCAGCATGTCGAGGAGCAGGGAGCCTTCTTGGGAGCACCCTTCAACCCAGAGGTACCACACGGTCCTTGGGCCGCTTGCTGCCCTTGGTGATGCCTTCAAGGAGAGATGGGCTCTGCTTCATCCCGTGCAGTGTCTCTCGTTTGTGTGGACAGTCATCGTAAGTCACTCGTCTCTCTGTGGCTGGTCCGTGGGACAGAGCCACCTCGAAGAAGCATTGATCTGCCCTCGGTCAGGCACCCAGCTGTCTCTGCAGCACCTTCCAGTCATTGCCCGTGCTTCAGATTGCTGCTAATTTCTCAGTAGCTGGGGAGGAAAAGTGGTATTGGAAACTCCCTTTCCCTGCTTGAGAGAGCTGCAGCCCCGTCTGACCGACTTGATGTGGAAAAACTGAGTCCTTTGAATGGCATATGTGCCCTCTCCTCTCCGAAGGAAGTATTTGGAAAACACTGTATCGCGGGCGGCTTTCCATGGGGCAGAGGCCAGCCATAGCACTGCCAGGGCTAAGTCGTGGCTTGCAGGAGAGGTTCAGCGGTGTGCACAGATGGAAAAGCCTCTGTGTTGGAGGCGAAGGGGGGGCAAATCTTGTTGTCTGTCCCCTGGGGACCGCGAGGCGCTTGCGGACTGTGGCTGGCAGGTCCTCTGCGTCCCCGAGAGCTGGAAATGTGGCAAGGAGTGACGCTCGGCTTCCTCGGAGCCGGTACGGGTGCACGGTGGGGATCGTGAGTCCGTTGTCTTCTCGTTTGGAGTTTAACCCTGTTTCTTGCCAACTGAGTTGACTTTGAGAAATCTGCAACCCAGAGGTTTGGGGGGGGGGGGGGGGGGGGAAGCAACACA